CTACTACTACTACTACTACTGCGTGAGGGTTGGTATTCGATAATATCGATGATGCTCACCTCACCGAGCAATATGTTGTTGTAGTGGTCACGTAATGGGACTCCGAGGCTTCCCGATGCAGGCACACGCCAAACCTTTTCCACCCGCGCTGGCTTCGAAGTCAGTGTGGCCTGTGCAACGCGGAAAACGCGTTCTCAATGGCTGGATCCGAGCTATCAGTAGTAGGTACCTGAGTTATCATTAGACTCGTTGGCACTTGAGCCAAATGTTGCCGGTTTGTTGAGCTTGTCGGACTGAGAGATCGATCCCGTGCTCGGTTGGCAAAGCCGCGCCGAGCACGTTCACGTACACTGTGTACAGAGTGCTTCTACATAGCTCAAATAGCGACACCACGAATTGCACGAGGCATCGAGGTCTGTTCGCACCCCCCATGAGTTAGACCTTCGGTCTTGCTCACATAGGAAGAGAGTCGCGTTTTGACCTGAAAACTTCAAGACTAAGATTGGCTCAACGGCAACTTCGGCATTGTTTCAGCGCGTGCAAACTCCCCAATAAGCTGCTGTGTGAAACACGGCTACGTCACTAGCGATCCCCTGTTCTTGAAAGAGTGAGAGAACCAAGCTACTGAAGAAATCAGCACGCAAAGGTGCCCATAGCCATGTTCAGCAAAGCATTCGTGTAATGGACGAGGATGGCCAGGATCACCTTGAAGATCAGTACCTCCGCCAGTAATCATCATCACGCCATCTGCGATTCCCATGTACTCCTTGAGAACTTTGAGACTGATCTCGTCTTTGTTGGGTTCCGGTAGACGTCTTGCTTCAGCCTTTGCCTTGGCTCTGGCTTTTGCCACGGCTTCAACATCTTCATCGGCCACTGTCCTGTTCAAAATGCTTGTCTGTCCCGGTGGCAGGTACATGTCCGGCGTCACATGTGTCAGCACGCGATTATTGCCTCGGTTGTGGATTCATGCGACCCGCGGTCGATTTCTCGACGAACTTCGCCTGCATCTGAATGCCGAGATCAAACATCACAATGCTGCAAGGGTCAACAGCCAGAACATGCTCTGTTGTTCCTGCCGAAACAGGGCGCAGCAAAATAAACATTCGATAACCAGAGGTCACGCCGATGATCTGGCAAAGCATGAAATTACAACTTGAATGCATTTGTGGAGTATCTCCTTGTTCATCACGCATGTGATTGGATGGATCGAAGTGGCGCCGGCTGTACCCCATCTGGACTGCTCCGCGCATCAGCTTCGACATCAACTGGTTCGTTCTGAACTTGGTGAAGAGGTACAGGTAAGTGCCGCGCGGATCGCTGGGGTCGTGGAGCCCCTTTTCTTCGCAAACACTTCCTCTTCTGTGACATCCGTGGAAACCAAGGCATTGGAGTCGATCTCTAAAAGAGCCTCGCCCCATTAGCCGTGAGCGTCATACCTCATGTTCTGAGGGAATTGCCCTCGCATCTTAGGGTAGGACATGTCTAGCCAGCGCACATTGGCTTTCCACTTCTTGTGCATGTAGTTGACGACCATGTGAGCCATGTAAGATGCAGCCCGCAACTGGGCGTCGACACTGTGAGCATCTCTGATGTGAGAATAATATGGCACCTGCATGTGCAACCTTGCATGAGCGAGGTCGGAATCAATGATGAAGTCGCTGTCATTGATCAAGACTGGGCGTCGAGACTCAATTTCATTCGGTGCAGTTTCACCATTATCTTCCATGTCAGGCTCAGTACGATGTCATTGTCAATCTCCCTTTCGGGTTCTGCTACGGTTCGTGCATCGTCCTCAGGCTCCGATAGAGGATCAGATGCTGCAGCTGTTGCCGCTTCCATAGCCTGAGCAATATCCTCTTGAGGTATCTCCAACGGGGCTTCCTCTTGACTTGTTGCTCTTTCGTACTTGCCACTCGAAACGAATGCCGAAAAGCGTAGTGCACATCTGGATAAGCACGAAGGTACTTGTTCAAGGCACCATGGGCAAATCCGATACCATAGGGTTGTGTCCCGATGGCTTCGTGGTTGTTCAGCAGGAACAGTGCACTTGATGACGAAATCTGTGGCTTCTTTGTAAAGAGCGTCACGGCGTTCCTAATCAATCTGGTCTGAGGGTGCGTCAAAATAGTCTGCCAAGCGTGAAATGTACCTCTCCTTGCTTGCGTCGTGTGGTCCAAGTGGAAGATCACAAAGAAGAACCATCAACCTTTCAAGCATTCGATAGCCTGTGAAGGTGTAAGCAATTGGAGATCTGTGGTAATTCATGCATACTTCGTCTTCAAGTTCGTCGTCCAGAATTTTCTCGACTTCATCGAACCTGCGCCGATGGTTGGTACCGCGTATGCATAGCCATACTTCCTTGGCAAATCTAAACGGAATTGGACGATTTGCAATGCTGACCCCACTTTCTGTAACTTTGTCTCCTTGATGTGTGATGTCCACGACCGGCACATAGAGTACCACCAAAGGTGTGTCTCTATTTGTGGCTGACCGACACTTTGTAGTTTGATTGCGTGGATCCCAAGGTGGAAAGACACCCCAATGGCTGTGCAATCTTCCTGAAGAGCTGTCATAGACGGCATCCCTGCCTGCCAGAATTCCTCCCTCCGTGATTGCCCGGAGTTTCCGTAATCGGTGGCGTGGTACGCACCTTTGGCGTGGTTGAGCAGAGTGTTGGCAGCCGACATAGCAAACTTTGTAGGGACAATCGGCATCAATGAATTCTCTCTGTCTCCGGAACGCCTACTGGTTGCTCCGATGGCCCAGGGCCTGACCCAGTTGTCAGAGAGTTCAAGTTGCTGTTCAGTAACATGTCGCGTCTGCGTTGACCGCGACAACTCTATCCTTTGGACGTTTGCACCGACCAATACATTGTCGAACGGCATTGCATCCGGTACCACGTCGTTGGCGTTTGTGGGTTCAGCAATCCGACTTCCGAGGAATTGTACGTAGGCGAATCTTGGCATTGTGTGCAAGCCTGGAATTGATGTAGTTCCCGTCGAACAACATTTGAAGACGTCGTACGTTGGCACTGCCTTCTTCTCTCATCCCAATCTCTGCGATTCAGCTGGTAGTCCAGGTTCCGTTTGCGGTGGCTCCACAACATGTCGCTGTCCAAGATGTCATCACTCCTCACCCATCCTGCTCCATCGCATGGTATCGTCGAAACAGTGGTGCCTGCAATCTTCACGGTGTCCGCCGCTTTGCCCAAGTGATGCCTCAGGTCTGCGACTGCAGCTGCGACTGCGACTGCAACTACAACTGCACATACTACTATTACTACTACTAGGAGCGTAGTGCATAATTGACGCCATGTTTTTCCTTACTTTACATGCCCAAAACTCGGGTTTTAAGCACATTTTACTAATTCTTGGGGGGGCGTTGTATTCTGGAAACCTTCATTTGGGAATTGTGTTTTTGGGTTTTGGGCTTCAGGTTGAGGGTGGAGGTGTCTGGGCTTGAGGGTTCAGGCTGATGAGGGCCTTGGATGTGGTATGAGGGCCTTGGATTTGCTATGAGAGCCTTGCAATTCCATGAGGGCCTTGGAATAAATTTTCAGTACTTATATTTGGCTTGGCTTTGGCTTGGCTTGGGGGGGCGGTGGCTTGGGGTTGGTGGGTGGGGGGGGGGGGTTAGGGTTTAGGGAGCTTTTGGGTTTAAGGCTCCCGGGTTTAGGGTTTAGCGAAAGCAATTCAAGGTTTTGGATTTGGGCTTTCGGGTTTGGGTTATTTGTTTCAGGTTTACCCCTAAAGCCCTAACCCTTTTGCCCTTAACCCTAAACCCAAGCTCCCGGGTTTAGGATTTAGCGAAAGCAGTTCAGGGTTTTGGGTTTGGGCTTTCGGGTTTGGGTTTTTTGTTTCGGGTTTTTCCCAAAGCCTTGACCCTTTTGCCCTTAACCTTAAACCCAAACAGGCGCTCGCTTGTTTCACGTTTGCTGCGCACCCGGTGCGCTCACGGACGAGTTTGCTCCGCCTGCGGGCTCCCCTTACAAGCTTAATTACTGCTCTTGTATACTTCAAACACTTGCCAAACTGTCCTGTGTTATGCATGTGTCTGGCACTACTAGCAACTCCTGTGAACCTGCTGAGTTGAACGAAATCACAAAAACGACGCCCCCCCAACTGACGCTCTCCAAGCCCTGTACATATTGCAAAATACAATGTTTTGTGCCTGCGACGTGGACGAC